CAAATTTCAGTGCTTTTTTTAAATTCTACTGAAATAGTATATATAGTAATATAATACATGTTATTTTTTGTAAATAGTGGATATTTCGATGTTGTTTAAACAAGTCGGATTCTTTGTTTCGTTATATACCTACAACTGGGATATCGCTAGCTTCACATAGGTGGAACTAATTAAAAATAAATTAATTTTGTTTGCCGAAAACAGTTAGACGATACTATCATAAAAGAAATAAATACATACCTATTATTTCGCTTAAAACTAATTACAGGAAGCAGTTAGTATAAGAACTAATTAAAATAAATACGTACTTGTTATTTTTTATTTGTATTAAAAATATCGTAATAGGTGTAACGAATACTAGGTGTATTTGTATAACAGTTAGATTACAATATTATATAAATGTCGATGTTTAATGTCGATAGTATAAATTTATATTTTGTAATCTATAATTGCATGGCTTCATAATGTTTCTGCCATATTTCTGTACTAGTTAACAGTCGTTACTGTCAATATCAGAGCATTCGTAGAGTTATTTATAGTGTAACCACAACTATTTGTCATTCGCTTGTAATATTAGTTAAAATCAGTACGCCCACAACCTATCTCACTCTATTGAACCAAATGTGCCTAGGATTTTAGTTGTGACAACCTGACAGACTGACTAACTGTAGGAAACGTCAAATGGATATAAAACACTTTTAACATCTTATAAATATTATAAACGCGAAAGTTTGTAAGTATGGATGGGTGTTTGTTACTCTTTCACGCAGAAAATTTTACAGTAATATAGCTTATACATCAGTTTAACATATAGGCTAAAAATTGCAAGAGGATGAAACCGCGGGCACAACTAGTAGTATATAATACTAGTTACTTGGTCCGATTGGAATTTAACCTTGTTTTTTGTCAGAATAACTAGTAGGTTTTTGGTAGGGCTAAGTGGATATAAAACACTTTTTGTATAATAGGTGTACCTATTACACGTGACTTGGTCCACGTGGTATTTTACTTTTTTATTAAAATTAATACAATTTTAAAATGAAGTGTAACCTAAATTACTCCTCATAACATTAGCTATCTGCTAGTGAAAGTCCCGTCAACATCGGTTCAGCCGTTTCAGAGATTAGCAAGAACAAACAGACAGACAATTTTAGTAAATTATTTTTTCCATATCCAGCCTGTTACTCGCTGATTATGTAGGTAGCTTTTAATAGTAGTTTTGAGTTTATTCATAACAAATATATAAAAAACTTTGCTCTTGGTAACATTTATAGTAATTAATATACTATCAAGCGATCTGTAAATAGTACAAGCCAATGTCTCTGTTTGTCTGTCTGTATACATACATTTTCTAAACAAAATGCGTCATTAACATCATAAACACATATGATTCAAATACAAATATAACAAGTTTACATTCATCATCATCATCGCAGCCCGGAAGACGTCCACTGCTGGACATAGACATAGGACAAGTTTACATTATCTCTAATTAATTTAAACTCAAAATCACTTATTCACATAGGATCATACGGCCTCTTGTATGTGCCTTACTATTAATCACCATCCTATCGCCCAGTTCAACTAGCTATTTCAGAGAAGAACTGGCAAGACACTCCACTGGCATAGATAATTAATACTTTATTCGATTTTGAACAGTCATATACATTTTGTAATGTGTGAACACAAACTACCATCTTGCAGAAATTTATTAGAACCAAATCAGCCATAGTGATTAGAGCAGACCAGTCCCTACAAGCAGCACTTGTTCAAGAGTATGATGGTTGAGCCAGCCATCATTGCTCTCGACCTTACTTTAAGGAACCCCAATGGCCCAGCCCATCTTGACTGAAACTGATTAAAAGAAAATGATATTCTTAAAATTAATTTAAATATTAGATAATAATAATAATAATAATCTCAGGACAATTCACACAGCGCCATCTAGACCCAAGTTAAGCTAGCTAAAGCTTGTGTTATGGGTACTAGACAACTGATACATATATACATAGATATTTTTTTTTATAAATACATACATATTATACATAGAAAACACCCAGACTGATACAAACAATCATACTCATGAATACAATAGTTTGTGCCGTGCGAGGAATCGAACCCGCGACCATCGGTCGTAAAGCGGTGTACTAGACCGCTAGACCGCCGAGGTCGTCAAGATAGTATTTAAGTAGTGTATAATTGTGTAACATATCTATTTAAAATATAGAATATCTCGTCTGAACAGCTAACGCTATACAAGGTCGTCTCTCATATAATCGATCACAGAGTAATAGGCTTAAAAAGTATTTCGATATTTTTAAGAGCAATAAAAATGTTTACTCCAATAAATTCAAATTTAAGCACTTTTGATTGGTCGTATTTTTTATTCTATCGCTACATTTACAATGTAGATTATATAACGGCGAGTATCTGTGCACTGACCAAGGTTGTCTTGCAGAGAATGCCCACAACGTTACTCTGCCTTTTGTTCTACATTTTATTACCCAAACTAGTTGTATACCACGGCATTACCTGGAATATGGCCTGCTTGCTATTACTCACAACTTTATCTCCTTTTTTGGATATAAAAAGTTAAATTTTCAAGCGTGTTATTAGTTATTAATTTTAAAATCAGTAGTGGTTTAACTTTTATATGATGATAATTTAATTATTTCTCATAATATTAGTATATATAAGTTTACAGTTACTTTATAACTTTAAATAAATATTTATGTTATTTTATTTTAAATGCCCCGGCTTCGCACCTGTATTTACTAAAAATGTTAAAAATAAAATTTACACGAAAACTTTAAAATATTATTGATTTTTTTGATGATGATGATTTTGGAAGGAAGTCTTAACACTATTTGACCATCACAAAATGAAGCCGAGTAACTCGATACCATCGAGGTTAAAATAATAGTTTCTATAACATCCAGCCAAGTACTACAATACTGACATAGTTTTCATATAAATGGAGGTACTTACATCGTTAGCCATATCTATCTGTATCTAGGTTTGCAAATCGAAGCCTTACCTGCCCGCCAGTTGGTTGACTTCCCCTACTTGTGACAGACATATCTATCTATATATTTATCTATACATGTTCTTTGCGTGGCGTACTTTCACATAAGTACCTATTATTGTCACAGGTAATATAACAGTTACGTACTGTTAGGAACACATCTATTTATTCTTCAATTCCCCTGTTTACGAGTAACAGTTTTCTAACTATTAGCACAGGTAACATAATATTACATACTATTATATATTCTATAATTGTGAACTGTTAATTAAAAAAACCTTGCTTTTAAACTAAATATAGAATTACTAAGGATTTATAAAAAAAATAACTATGTATTTATATCAGTTGTCTAGTACCAATAACACAAGCTCTGCTTACCATGGGAATAGATGTTTATTACCAGAGAATGATTCGTAAAAGGTAATAGGTACTTCAGATTCACCTATATCAGTCGCTAAGCATCGCTAAGCTGCCTTGTAAGCTATGTTTCGGTTAAAAGCTGAGATTAGGCAGTGAAGTACATCTTAGTCCTCTGGAATATTTATATGTGGTATATTAAATAAGAATGTGGTATTTGTGGTGTTTATTTTTGTTTTATCTATATATTTATTTCGAGCAACTTTATAACCTATCTAATATATCCCTTACAGATCAATAAATATATAAAATAATAACAAAAAATATTACAGACGTTGGTTACCACTTACCATCTGACGGGACGACAAATTCTATACCTATTAAAAATATATATTTATAGCTACTAAATATTAATAATTATTTTGCTAAAAATTACATTTTATACGTAAGCATATGATATGCAACACTGGATAATAAACTTAAAACAAATGTTACATATTTTAAAAACTAGATTTTAATAACTTAAATATAGTGTTATATTTCTTAAAAATTAATTTAAGAGTTATTACACTTTATTATTAAGCATGCGATACATATTTTTAAACACAATACATTTGATTAAATATATGTATATTATAATACGACAACTATTATTTCAAGTGGTAGTTGGAGATGGTAGTTTGAGACATCTGTTTTGGTTCCTTACGTATAAGTATACACTGATAGCCTCGACGGTCGAGCAGTTTACCTCACGGTATACTTGCGATGGTCGCGAGTTCGATTCCTTGCACAGTACAAATATTTGTATTCATGACTATGATTGTATATAATATATATAGAAAACACCCAGACGGATGACGGTGTTTTCAATATATATTACAAAAAATATGCAAGTATTTATGTCAATTGTCTAGTACCTAATACACAAGTTCGACTTAGCTTAGGACTAGATGGCGCTTGGTGAATTATCGAGGGATATTATTATTATTATGATTATTATACTCGTATATATTTTTTTATACAATTATAATGGGAGACAATCTTACGGTAAGCGGTAACCGTCGCTTATGAACAGTCGTCATGTGACGCCCGTGTTACCTCAGGTGTTGCCATTCCAAAGGATTCAGATGTCATACCTTGTATTCTGTAATTTCACTTTGCTTTGTCTCGACTTTTTAATCGAATCATCTTACAATGGAAGCTACTTGAAGACTGGACTAAGCACTAAAGTACCCAACCCACCTTGGGTCAAGTAATCAAGCAAGCAAAATCAAGCAGACGATTTTAAAGAAGTCTGTAAGGTACCTATATAGTAGTAATAGAATAATTCTAATTTATAACTAATTAACTTTATTTTCGAATGTGTACTTAAATATATTTCTGGCATGAGCGCTCCCAAGCCCCAAGACAGTCTGACCTAGTTTTGGGGCTAACGTTTAAATAAAGACAAATTTTGGTATAGTTTAAGTCACTCATACATATAGGGAAATAATACCTAATATAATGTTACATTAAATACATATTAACTTCCTGATATATGAAAGTATTTTAAACAAAAAAAATATTGCTTAAAGTAGAAACTAAATAGTTTATTTTATATATTTTTTTATTATTACAGATGCACATTTTGGGGCAGAGACGTTAAATAAAGTAAGTACATTAATATATATTTTTATCCAACTAATCAATAAAATGGTAAACAAATACAGGTAAATAACATTTTTAGAACGTATGTTCATATTTTTACTAATATTTGATGACTATTTGCAACTTATGATGTTGAAACAATTGTCGGGAAGTACGAGTACATGTGTGTATGTCATTAAATTCTCGTACATAGTTATAATAATAATACAATAATAATTTCTGATTATTAATGACCTTATTTTGATCTTTTACTACATAGAATGTTACAATATACCATAAGTACAACAGAGTCGTAGATTTAATGTAAATTCCCACCAGAACTGGTTTGGATCCACGGCTAGTATTTATAAGAACAGTAAACAAATAACATGCGATCTAATGCTACTCAACTAAAATTTCCTTATAATACCATTATACGTAGTTTAGATATTAAAACACAACTTTTAACATAGCGGTTCTCAATTCCCGATACTTTTTGTTATTGTTTTATAAACTCACCTCAGAACTTTTATATACGTTTACCGATTTTGATAATTCCCTTTTTAATGGAAAGCTGTTACTTCTCGTGTGGTTCGGTATAAATTTGATCAAGATCTGATTGATAGTTTTTAAATTATTTAATGATGAGATTCAAGCCTGTTTTTCGTAGTCCGAATATGCTATAATTTTTGTTCCTTTCGGCAAAAGGCTACTTTTGCCTTTTACACTACTTATGAAGGTTTCCCGAATTAGCAACTTGTGGAAATTAGTGATCGTGAATGTTAAAGTTTAATGTAATTATAACCCAACTTGGTTTAAAGAAAATGTATTGTTATGCAATATCTTCGTTAATTCTACACTAATGCTGATGATTTAGATTCAACATCTACAAAGAAATAATTTTCTGAAGAATTCCCACGGAAACGGTACATAACCGGTTCCGGGTGAGCGAAACCTCTGTAAACAGACAATAATTAATAAACATGCATTTGCGTATCAATAAAAAAAATATGACAAGGCAAAGGCATCGTCCAATTCATCCATCAAATGATGCGTTCCGATTCACAGGTGCGGTTTACACACGGAACGATCCGCATGCGATATTGATGTAATCGTGATGTTGTTACGTTCGAAAAAACTCACTAGAGCGGGGAAAGTGACGCGCTGCGCCTCAAGATCGTGAAAGGTACTTAGTCGATCACTGGCTTACGCTGAGCCGTTACGTCCCTCCCGGTGCGTACAAAAATATCCAATATGGCATGTTGGTAGCTAATTTGTCGGGGCTCTAGTTGGTATGGTCGGGCAAACTTACGACACCGCCGAGCGTTCGGAATTCGAACTACTTTCGCGTAATCTGTCTGTATAGAATATGGTGTCCTACTTAATTACATTTTCGGCGAAATTATCAGTTTTCATATAATTACTTCTTTTAACATTTGCAACAAATCGTAACTTATAGCTTTACGATCGATCGTCAACAAACATGTCCGACTTCTCTTTATGAACGTTAAATTATTGACACAAATTGATATAATACCTAATAGGTTTCGATTTCTAACGTGAACATAACACATTCATGTAATTAATAAGCCATTAAATTAAACTAGATGTATTTGAGAGAAATAGTTCCTTCCTAAATTTTAATTACGTTGAATGTAGAGATGATTAATACTCGAGACAAGAGCTCTTCAAACTACGTTTAATGATTTCTGTTAAAGTTTCATTTGAAGTCACTCACTTGGCGTGAGGTTAACTATGTTTTCGAAAATAGCAACTAAAAATCAAGTAGTCTATTTTACTACCTATCTACTCAGCAAGGAATTTGTAGAGACTAATACCTATATATATCTGAGCAATTAGATATAAAATAATAAACAAATCATTATTATACGTGTTTATGTTTCATTATATTATTAATTAGGTACTTATCTATCACACTTACCATTTACTTTAGTACGGCTAAGATATCATAATTTTATTGATATCTAATACCCTTATAATAGAGTTTGAACTCAATAAAATTGTTATTACAAACTAAAGTATGTACATTAGATCGCTGCCGCTAAATAGTTTTACTAACATTAAAAGAAATAATCGTAAAACTTTTATTGGTTTGTCTAATATAATACACAAGTCTGCATTTGATTAAACAGCTTTCATTAGGTGGCGAATTAATACATCAGATCTTCAATTGAATCCCTTTTCCTGTGAAATAAACGCACCTGCCTCTCGCCCCGCGTCCCCCTCGATCCTGGCCGCCTGGTACGATCGTCTTTGAAGCTCCGCGGCATGGTATACTCTCGACCGAACCGATCCTCAGATGTCACTCTCGAAGCGTACAACTTATCGCACGATCAGTCAGCATACCGCACTCCGGACAAAGGAAACAGATTGAAATCGTCACACGCGTCCACAACTTTATCGAGCGACTAGTCGAGAGCACAACAAATCCAGTTACTTGTCGCTGGACCGGTGCGCTCGTCTTTTGTACGTATATAGCAGTTTAATTTACGGTGTTGAAGTGAAGATAATAGGTGCTGTTAAATTTGCTAAAATACCTTATTTTCGGCGCTTTTTTTAGTTCATCGTGACTTGTCTCTATCTTATTGACAATGACAAATTTATTAATGAAATCAAGGTCACTTGTCTTTAAATAATCGACTGAGTATATTTTATTGAATAATCATTTACTGGAACTACTGTTATTATAAAAGAGAGTTGAGATTTAAGTTTATTATTTAACTTTGTACTATACACACGTGATGCTCAATCAAAAATTAATAATAATATATAAATAAATAATTGTCTTACTTGTACGAAATAAAATAATATACAAACGAGTATTAACAAACTGATAGTCTCAGTAAAGAAATACTCAAAGATACTCTGAAAAAGTTTTAATTTCATTAGATAATTCTTAAATCAGCAATAGAGACCTATCACTACGAAAATAGAAATTGCATTGATGTGACATTTTTATTTTAGACATATTAGAAACCAACGTTCCGTTCTATTAGTAGCAATCATTTTGAAACGTAATAATCGATTATATAACAGCTATAAATATAACCCATCACTAATATTCTCGTAAATAAAAACAATCATAAATAAACCTACGTACAGTAACTAATTGTAATATAGTTAAATATACGACAATTACATGTCATGATGATTAATTGTAAAATATATGTCATGCTTACCTAAATGATATAATAAGAATAGCTTATGATATATTTCTGTACTGTATTTAAATAAAAAGCTAATTCACGCTACACGGTTAATTTGACCGTTTCCGCCATTTTACAATACAGATACCGCAAATGCACAGAGAACAGTATAAACATCTACTACAAATGTAGATTATAGATAGATTAGACCATAGACTATATAATATATACTATAATTTTACAATGTGTACAATTTTGTATAATATGTAATATTGGGCGGTTAAATTATTGATTCGTATGAGAATTCATGATTATTTTATGATTATACATGTATTTTTTTCTTGTAATATATATAAATATATGTAATATATAGGAAATATCCAGACTAATATAAACAATAATACTGATGAATACAAATAATGACGCAATTAATCGAATTATGGACTATAAGAAGGTGGTATGCTAAATTGTCGGAGTCGAGTCCCGAGGTCGTAAATAATAATAATATTTGCCTATACACAAGTAGTAAGAGAGAATATCTATATTTTAGAAGAGCAGATTGAAAAATAACGCTTGAGAGTGATTGTGTAGCTATTTTCAAGTGCAGTGAACCCTTTATACGCGCAAGACTCTGCCAGAATTTGTCTGGGTCTAGACCAGACTCCAGACGTCTTTACGCAAATTATTTGTCTAAGTTTTTTAGTAGCGTTCCAGGATTTTCGTCTGCTCGTTGTAGGTAATTAAGTGTGGTATAATTTGTGGTATTTAAATGTAATTTACTTTTACGTACTGTTGGGGTTATTTAAGAGGGGATTATTTCTCTATAAATAATATTAAACTGCGCGTCAGTCTGATTGATGAATCTTATTGCGGTTTTGTTTCACAACCATACATTTTTGAGGATTGTTTTAAAATGTTTGATATGTATAAGTTTTAATATGTTAATTTATTCTGTAACTGGAATGGATAACAAGCTGACGGTTTATTTGATATTAAGGGGTAATAGATGATCAGTATCACAGACATCGCGTTATCATGTTACATCCGTGATACCACTAGTGCGTTGTCAATCTGGAGGACTAAGATGTTATTCGTACATATACTGTAATTTGTCTATTTATGTCAACCGAAACATACATAATTAAAGAAGAAAGCAGCTTGACGGCTGAAATAAGTTAGACGAAGGTATCTTCAAATTGGAATGAGCTCGTGTATTTATCAATCACATACTGTTTATAAATGTTAATAATGTAGATTATAAAATAGAAAAAATAAACATGCATCTACGCCTGGAGTATAAATTAATTTGCATTGTATTATTTTTTACTCCTCCCATTTTTAAAAGCATAAACTGTATTAATAGATTTATAAAAAGGTGCTTATATAGAAATTAAATTAAAATATCTTTTGTTTATATAGCATATGCTAGTGGTCACTCTACATTCTCCGAAATTTCAATTTAAATGAATCTGTATTATTCTAAACATGTACAACATTTATTTGAAAAGAATACGAGCTGAGTTTCTTGTCAGTTCTTCTCATCTCGAAATCATTCCTAACTGACGGTAGATTTGACATTTTATAAGAGTCTATAATATACCTACATGAATAAAAGATATTTTGAATTTGAATTTGAATAATTATTTGAATATTTGTATTTTCAATAAATTGTGTCCCAAATTCATAATGATTACTTTCTCTGTGAACGGACTTAGAAACCTTAAAAATCTTAGAATGAAGTTATTCATATTTCTAAAAATAAAATATTATTCAGTAAAAGCTACCTTTAATATTTAATAGACATTTCCTTCAGAGCCCACACTTTTTCCATCTCGTAGACATCTTACAGTGTGTGAT